TGGCTATCAACACATGTGTGCTCCAAATAACACAACTTCTATTTTCTTCACTAATTAACAAGATCACCCCCCCCCTCCTCGTCTACTCTCTTTTTTTTTCATTCAAATTATATCTCACATGCGAAAGTTCATATTGTATAAAGAATAAAATGCCAAACCTACCCATGTGCAGGAGAAACCTAGAACTTTTAATAGAAAATGATATAACATAGAAAGCTACAACGATATTGAAATATACTAATTGGCAAATACTTATTAATGGTCCAAATATATGAGCCTTGGAAGTTCATTCTTCTTAATTACTGGATGTTGCATAAATTTATTTCAACTTTATGTTAATTTATTAGATGTTACTTATCAAGAATTTGATTATTTCAGCGAATATACATTGAAACTAGTTGTTAATTAAAATGCTAATTGATTAAACAACACATATCCAATTACTAGAATGCTTACATGAATTACTGATGCTCATATGTCATACATAAGATCATGAAAATTACAGTCAATGATAAAAAGTCGTACGAAGTTTTATGAGGTAGAACAGAAATGGACTGGTTACCTGCAGGTTGAAGATTCTGAAGCACAACTGGGGAGGAGAAGATTCTTAAACTTCAGTGGAAATCTATTCATTCATATGAAGGTTGAAAGCTTCCACAATCCATGTTTAACCTTAAAAAAAATTAGCACCTGAACTGATGGCTTCCATTTCTCCTTATTTTCTCTACCTTATGCTGCTATGCCTGTTGCCAATTTCTATCATAGCTCAAAATATAACACTAGGTTCGTTATTAACTGCAGTGCTCAATGCTAACTCTTCCTGGAAATCTCCATCTGATTGGTTGGCATTTGGCTTCCAACAGATAGAAACTGGAATGTTCTTACTGGCCATATGGTCGACAAAATACTTGAAAAAACCGTTGTTTGGTCAGCCAATGGTGGAAATTTAGTGCTGGAAGGATAAAAAATTCAACTGACAACAGATAGCCAGTTCATACTCAATGACCCAAAAGGACAAGAGGTACAGATGGCTAACTTGGATGGCTAACTTATATGGCACTGGTGATATTTCTTATGCAGCTATGCTTGACACTGGAAACTTTGGGCTGGCATGCCAGGACTCCACCAACTTGTGGGAAAGTTTTGATCATCCAACTGACACAATATTACCCACACAAAAATTAAATGTGAACAGCAGCCTTTTTGGTTGTTATGCAGAAATGAATTACTCAAGTGGAAGATTTATGATGCAGTTACTATCAAATGGAAATCTTGTACTCTCTGCAACAAATTTTCCACTGGACTCAGCAAATACTGCTTAGAGGTCAACTAATACTGCTGGAGGTGACTTTCAGGTTGTCTTTAACCAGTCTGGCTACATCTACCTAGAAGCTAAAAATGGAAGCATAATCAGCTTTATAGCAGTAATGGAGCATCCACTGGTAACTTCTACCAGCATGCAATCCTTGAATATGGTGGGGTCTTCAGACAATATGTCTATCCAAAAAACTAGAGCGTTAGTGCTGGAAGGCCTATGGCCTGGTTCTTGATTTACTGTATACCACAGGATATTTGCACGAGCATTAGACAAGCCACAGGTGGTGGGGCTTGTGGGTTCAACAGCTACTGTATTCTAGCAAATGATCAGAGACCTAAATGCATGTGCCCGCCTGGATACTCATTCTTGGATCCAGATGATGACATGAATGGATGCAAGCAGGATTTTGTCTCAGAAGAGTGTGATGGGGGCCAAGATGCAGATCTTTTCTATTTCCAGGATATGCCAACACAAAAATTGGCCTGACTCAGGTTACAAATATTTTCAACCAGTTACTGAGGATTGGTGCAGACAGGTATGCTTGATTGACTGCTTTTGCGTAGTAGCAATCTTTAGAAACAGTAACTGTTGGTTCAAGAAAATTCCTCTCTCAAATGGGTTGTTTGATAGTAGTGTTGGAGGGAAGGCGCTAGTCAAAATAAGAAAAACAACCCTATAAACACATCGGCCAGGGAGGGTTCAAACAAGAAGCCTCAGTCAACTGAGATTCTTATTGGAACTCTGATCTTAAGTAGCTCAGCATTTTAACCTTGTTCTGCTGGTTACCATTCTTTGGGTTGTTTCATGCTTAAACTCAAGGAAAAGAAGGACGCTTCAGCCTTATATGATACAAGGCCTGAGTTTACAAAGCTTCACTTACAAAGAGCTTGAGGAAGCTACAAATAACTTCAAAGAAGAACTGGGAAAAGTTGCTTGTTCAACAGTTTATAAAGGAGTTTTAGATGTTGATGATAAGAACTTCATCACTGTTAAATGATTGGACAAGATGGTGACAGAAGGTGAGAAGGAATTTCAAGCAGAAATGAGTGCCATTGGTTAGACAAATCACAAAAATCTAGTACAGCTGCTAGGATTTTGCAATGAGGGACAGCACAGGTTTTTGGTGTATGAATATATGAGCAATGGATCTTTAGCCACTTTTCTTTTTGGAAATTCAAGGCCCAATTGGTATAAAAGAACTCAAATTGCTTTTGGGACTGCAAGAGGGCTTGTTTATTTGATTCAGAGTGCAGCAACCAGATCATACACTGTGATATCAAGCCTCAAAATATCCTGTAGATGACTCCTTTACAGCAAGAATTTCTGACTTCAGATTAGCAAAACTTTTGAAGACAAACCAGACTCGAACTGTTTCTGCAATCAGGGGAAAAAAAGGATATGTTGCCACAGAATGGTTTAAAAACATGCCAATCACAGTCAAAGTTGACGTTTACCGCTTTGGAATTCTGTTGCTAGAACTCATTTGCTGCAGGAAGAATTTTGAGCAAGATGCATTGGCTGATTGGACGTATGATTGCTATGAAGAAAGGACCTTGCATTTGCTAGTTCAGGAGGATGAAGCGGCAATTCAGGACATTAAGATGGTAGAGAAGTTTGTGATGATTGCCATTTGGTGCATCCAAGATGATCTATCTTTTAAGGCCCACTATGAAGAGAGTCTCATAGATGCTAGAAGAAGCTGTTGAAGTTCCCCTCCCCCCATTGAATCCTAATTCATCAGTTCAATTCAAGTCTAAATAGGCATCACGATCAGATGATGTAGAAGAATAGTTGGTAGTTAATCTTATATGACAGATTTGTATTTTTTAGGGTGATCTCTACCGACTGGATATTTATGAATGTGAAACATGCAATGCAACAGGATTTACTACAAATCTATAAATAAATGAACAAGCTCCTCCCTTCTCTAGGCAAACTATGTACAAATAATAACAGAGAACATTGGAACATCAATTCCTTCCCCAAATTCTCATATATGACATGAGTAAGGACCCAGCTTGATAGCCAAAAATTCCCAGAAATTTAAGTCCATTTCCAGCAAAATCCAAATTACGGGAACAGCTGACTTTCCCATAGTCTGCCTTACTAATGTAGGGACATATAGTAATTGAGTCATTATCATATTAAACAAAACAAATGGGTTCACAGTTCAGTTCACACAATTAGAACCTGTAGAAATGCTGCAGGTTTGGATTATTTTATGCAAGTGAATTTCCATTTCTAGGTTGATTCTGTAATTGCATGATTCAGAGAACATACTTACCTGTTCCGCTGATTCCAGAACTGAAGGATGGTACCATCCTCGGTTATGATCAACCCCGGTTAAAATCAGCAAACTTTAGCAAAGAGTCAAAGACCCATGTTGTTTGGAATTGCAGATTTCACCCAGATGCCAACTGCTTAGGTTCAAATGTATGCAAGGTACTGGATTTTGAATTTCCTCTCTTTCGACCTTCTATATTCCAAAAGAAATAGAATTCATCAGCCATTAAGTTTAACTCTCAATATTTTTTCAAGGGTTTTTCTTCAAGGAAAGAATTGAGAAAGGAAAAGACCTTTGTTTCGCTGTGTGATTACATTGGCCATCCACAGAACATCGTCTCTGATAATGAAACGCCCAGCTTTGCCATCTCAAAGCTTCTCTCTAGATCACATTGCTCTCTTGTTGCATAAATGCCTAAAAGCAAAAGCCTTGAAACCTGGCAAGCAAGTCCATGCTTGGTTACTGGCTACCGGAACTGATATGAAAATATTATCGTTGAACGCAAAGCTCGTTGGCATGTATGCGAGTTGTGGGGATTTGGGTTCTGCTCGTTTCATCTTCGAAAGGATTCAAAAGCCGAATGGTTTCGCTGTGAATTGGATGGTTTTGGCCTCTGCATTTAATGGGTACTTTGAAGAAGCAATAGGGTACTTCTCTGTAATGCGGGAGTCGATGAATTTTTGCAATAAATTTACGTTTTCCGTTTTGTTGAAAGCTTGTGTTGGGTTGATGGATTTGAACAAGGGGAAGGAAGTCCATGCCATTGTTAAAATGACGGGGCTTGAGAGTGAAGTAGGTAATCCCCTGATTGACATGTATGGTAAATGCGGGCACTTATGTTATGCTCGTAAGGTGTTTGATAGAATGGTTGAGAGAGATATTGTTTCCTGGACATCGATGATATGTGGGTACTGTAACGTGGGAAATATGGATATAGCATTTGATCTGTTCCAGAGAATGAAATTGGAAGGATTGAGCCCTAATGACTTCACATGGAATGCGTTGGTATCAGGCTATGCTCGGGTGGGAGATATCAGAGGTGCAGTTGCTCTTTTTGATCGAATGATTGGAGAAGGTTTGGTTCCTGATTTGATTACATGGAATGCTATTATTTCAGGTTTTGCTCAGGGGCAGCAACCTGTTGAAGCATTCAAGTGGTTTCGAGACACATTTAGGTCAGGGATTAAACCAGATCAGGTTACCATAACAGGATTGCTCCCAGCTTGTGGATTGACTGGATCAATTCAAAAAGGTAGAGAGATTCATGGTTATATATATAGGATGGCGCTTTATAAGAACGTGTTTATTGCTAGTGCTCTTATTGACATGTACTCAAAATGTGGCAGTGTGAAAGATGCTGAGAATGTGTTTGAAAAGATGCCCATCAAGAATTCTGCATCATGGAATGCCTTGATTGGATGCTATGGGAAACATGGCATGATTGATTCTGCAATAATGCTGTTTGAAAGGATGCAGGAAGAAGGAATACAGGCTAGTGGTTTGACCTTAACTTCTGTTCTGTCTGCATGCAGTCACAGTGGTTCTGTTGAGATAGGTTTAAAGATATTTAGGTCCATGGAAAAAAGTTACGGGATTGAAGAACATTATGCTTGCATAATTGATATGTTATGCCGAGCAGGAAGGATGGAAGAAGCTTATGAATTAATAAAAGAGATGCCATTTGAAGTTACTGAGTCAATTGCCTGTGCCTTCTTCCATGGATGTAAGATCCATGGTAGAAAAGATTTGGCTAAATTGATGGGTGAAAAAATTCTGAAAGTGGAATTAAGAAAACCAGGAGGTTTTGTTACCCTATCAAATATTTTTGCTGCTGATGGTGAATGGGAAGAGGTTGAGAATCTAAGGAAGATAATGAAGGAGAAGAAAATCCAGAAAGTGCCTGGCTTTAGCTGGCTTGAGAAGAAAGATGATTTGGCTGGGCCAAAGGTAGAAGAGGAAAGCAACAGAAAGAGAGGTGACACATACTAATCATTGCCAGTTAATATGGGGACGAGTTTCAAAAGACACTATCCCTATCATAATCATATTATTCATCATCGTGACACTTGTGCTTAATTTGGGGAAATGCTAAATATGCGGTACCACTGGAGAGCACCTGAAGCCATGAAGGTATGCATTACATGCTTATACTATTTTCTTGATTATGCATGTGAAACCATATTTTCCCTTGAGACTTGTCTTTTCATTACATATGTTAAGTTTTTGGATGCTATATTCAGTCCTGTGTATTCAATACAAAACTAACAGCATTTCCGGTGGGGCACAAGCCACAAAAGTAAATTAAAACAGGAAGAGTGGGGTATTGGAGTCAATAATAACTTCACATTATTCATGTGACATTTGGATGCTGTTTCTGATATGCTGAGCTGCTGTCAGTCACAACGATCATCATGATAGCTTTGATGATTGCTACTGTTTTGCCGTTCTTTGAAAACAAAGAGTGATTGATCATGGGCCATTATATTCAATATGTTGTTTCTAACTCAAACTGAGAAACTCTGATGTATCCCTACAGGAGGGGACAGAGTTTCACAAAATGGTTTACCTAATAAAATAAAATCTGTGAAGAAAAAATAATTTTTTTCTTCTTAGATTTCTGTACAAAAATGAGACTATACATTCAAATCTACAGGGTAAATATAGGATCAGAAAATAATGGTAGAAGATGTTATCATGCCAAGTGAGCTTTAAAAAAGAATGGTGAGTTTAGGAAGCAGAAATTAGGAGGGACTGGAACATGGTTCCATTCACCTTGAGTTCTGAAACCTTAGTCATGAATTTTGAAAGGATGATGACCTACCAATGCATTAATCCCACCTTCTTTACCAATAAAAGTTAATACCATCTACCCGTTTGACATTTAATAAAATTAATTACTTTAGATTAGTCCATGTCTGTTTAAGGCAGTCTAATTAAAGAGGAGAAAGCTTTTGTCCTCCAACCAATTTTTTGCAGCTAGATAAAGCCTTTACCTACTCTTTTTATATGGTCCATTTACCACAGCTTGCTTGGACCACTAAATATATACGTTTAAGTTGTGCTAGTCTTACTCTCACACGCAACAACAGTATAAAATCGCACTGTACAACTAGAACATATCGTTGAAGATACTATAAACCCCAGTTTTTAGGGTTCTTCTTTGTGTATTCTGTATCATGCAATTAATTCTCATTCTCTGGTGTTCTGGGGGATGTCCATTTATTTATTTATTACTAGCATTTCTTTGCAGGTTTTCAATTCAACAGAAAGAAAGGACTTAGAAGGGGATATTCCACCTAACAATTTCTATACTCAATGGTGAAAATAAATGTGTCCTAAGTTGTTTATTATATTAATCAAATTGCTGATTTTTTGTTTTTGTTTTTGTTTTTTTTTTAATTGTGAATTGAGGAATTAGATCTTGCAGAAAAACAAGGGAATAGTCAATGTAGGGGAAACAGTGGAATAGTCAATGTAGGGTTGCAATGAAGACTAAGAGTTTGAAAATTGAAGTGTGATATCGCTTTTAAAAGTATTTTAGAGGGAGGATCTTGTCCTGAGATAAAGCACATGCACATTGCATGTACCCCAGACTTTGAAGATGATGTGGAAGTAAAAAAGACTTTCATATGAGGTCTTTTTCAACATTTGGCTGTCAAACATTATACGCAGTTTCTTGGAAGAATGCATTTTGGCTAAATTAAAATGGTCTTTGGGACTTTACCTATTTATGATATGACTTAAGTGGGATCTTAGCACCAAGAAAATTGCTTACAG